TTACTCTGTTTGTAAATCTTTTTTGCTATGTTATGTATTATGGGGATGATGTTACATTCTGAGATAAATAAATGTACACATTGTCGCCATACACTTCTATTAGGTTGTAGATTTGGGGTTTATTAACTCTGTTTTGTTAGGGTGTTGCATCACTTTCTCTTTGTTATTGTTAGTAAGTTGGAGATATGTCACATGCATGCTCTGTTGGGTTGATTTGGTTGAGTTATTAGATTGGTTAGGTTGTATATTATTGCTTCCGTTTTGTTAGGATAGGTGTTGCACCACTTCTGTCTGTTTATGTTATTGTTAGAAATTTGTTGAACTAAAATCAAAGGAATCAGATCAGAAAAACTGTTGGGGCAATGATACGATAGTACTCAAACTTAGCCTGAGATATGTAGAATCCAAACCCAACTTATCTGAACCTAAGATGGACAAAATCAAGTAAAACATATTAGTGGGGTGATGACAATGTATTTTCCTACCCCATCTGTCTACCTCTGTGATTTTAAACCTTTTTGTGGAGTTGAACCCCAATGAAACATTCCAGAGGCTCGAGCAACCCCTAAGCGATAGATGCCTACGGTAACAGGCATTCAAGTATACTTGAATATTATATACGGATTTGAATCAAATCTTGCCGAGATCCCCCTCCCCCAAACTGTACTGTCAGAACCGCTGCACTCAACCTCAGGATCAGTTATAGAAGGGTTAGCGTGAGGAAGAAATTGTAATCTTGATGAGGCTCGGAAGTGTGGAATACGCTCACCAACCTTGATTATCCTTCGCAGGTTCACAGTTAATAGGTTTGAATCCCGTTCGAGATGGCTATGTGCGAGAGGATTGTTGGACTCCTCGCTGCCGTAGGGTTGTTCACGTAACTGCTGGTTAGTTACGGCTTCCTTCCACTGTGCATTTAAAAACAAATAACTGGCTAACTAATCTCATATGGGACATAGACTGGTAACCGGGCAAGAGATCGTGGTTCGTCATACAATTAAGTTGTCTTATCGGCTTCCCCTGGGATAAATATGTAAATCGTATTCTATCCAAAAATAGCTTTATATTTCATGTCATCCCATATGACTGACAACCGAACAGTATCCATTGATTGATGATGTTTAATGATATATAAGGAGCTACAAATAATTGGAATCCTTTTGGTTTTGTATTTTCTTTACAAATCAGTGAAATCACTACACTTTGGTTGAAGTGGGGGCATGGGATTTAAACTTGCTGCTCGCACAGAGCCGTGCTCAGAGTGGATATCATTTGTCTATTCAGAAATCGTTTCTCATAATGCTGTGATGTGTCAATGACTGCTCTTGTTCTCAGTCATAATATGAAGTCTCAGAAAGCAGAGCGCATGGCTATGAAGGTCAAATGTCAACATAAGTTCTCATGAATAAAACAATTTTGGGTGAAATATGAGGTTCACAGGACTAATATAGGCAGAGTTTGAATTGGCTTCTTAGCAACTTCTTACATCTTTGTTCAAAAATTTGTAGTTAGGTCCATTAGCTGCAGAGAAAATCGAATTTTGCAAACTACAAAAAGAATTCGGTAAAATATTCACTTCGTGTTCAATAAATTGAAATCCTACTCAGGTGGTCTTGTTCAAAATAGCTCGAGGCTTAATGTTAGTAATAACATACGTCGCTGATACTAGTGGAAAAGATTAGTGGCCGGTATCGTGTTGTTATGGATATAGGTCATTATAAGATTTGAATTTTATGATGGATTATTATTTTTAAAAATTCTGAATTATTTGGGCAAAACTAATATAATACCTGCTCTCACTCATAGGTTGAGGAGACTCTTTGTAAATTTATAAGCGACCACTAGAATGATGAGATTGTGTTAGTGCATTAGACGGTACCCCCGTAGTATTTGTACCAGGTTAGGGTTATTAGGCCATAATTTTATCCCAATTTTCCTTATTTCAGTTCTATTACGAGTTCGGGGACTGTCTGTGTTAGTCAAGTGAATATAAATATACCTCATGCCCATAAGCTTTCATCCCTTCACACAACTTGATGTAAAATAGACAATCAACATTAGTTACCTCAATATTGGTACACACACTTCCAGAGCACCCATTACAATTGATTGATTTGAGACTTGTTCAAGTCAGAAAAACACATTTGAGGTAGTGGATTCAACATAACTGAAGTTCTCTGAACTCTTGGCTTTCATTTTCACTACATTCTCCGTTATATTTTGTCAGGGTGCAATCAGGGTTTGTCACCCTTCTTACCGGGATTATGCTTTTCAAATAAAGATGATTCTAGCTTAAACCCAAAGCTTATGGAAGGGGGCGCAGGGGAATTTTGTTAAAAGGAATTCAGCAAACTGAAGTTGAGTCGCACACAGAACTTACTTACTTATGAAATTTTCTCAAATATGGAACCTATTATTAGTTGTGACAAGTTCAGTAAAGATACAACAGAAGACAATGTATATTTTAGAATGGAATTTTATTGTTTTTTTTGCAGTATTGCTTGTTTTCTTCATTAATATTTATTCGCACACGATAAACTATTTGAACTGTACAAAAACGAGGGTACAACTCGCACACAACACTTGTAAAGAATGCATTAAAGAATGAATATATAAGTAGTTTTATGCATAGTTAGGTAGGAATAGAGTTTCAAAATAAGCGAAAAATAGGAATTTAAGAAAACGGTTAGGGACCACTGGTATGTTCAACAATTTGGGAATGCAGGAAAATGAGAAAAAATAGTGTGGGATGGCCAAAACAATTTCAATAACATTTTTTAATATGAGAATAATATTCTAAATTGGCCATGCCTAACAATAACACATAGAATTTATATTCAAAGAGAGTCTGAATTCTGAAACAATATTTTTAAATGTATATTGGGTAAGAATAGGATAGAATCCGTGCAGTTTTTTAATAAGTTTGGGAATGCGAGAAAGGAGGGATGATTAATGGTTTTATTTTTTAACACTTTACAGATATTAAATGAAAGCTTTTTTGATCATATTATGAAAGTTTTGTGTGGATGTAGCGTTTGCCCCAAGTCTGTTTTTGTTTTGAAATTTGTCTCGATTTCAATTGAGACAAGTTGTAATATTTTTGTCGGGAATGTCATTTTCTCATTGTCCTATTTTATGTTCCAGTTTCCGAAATATAACAAAGGAAAGTTGAAACACTAATGATGTGGTGAAAGTACTTATTAACCTCTGGGTGGTCTCCCTTGCTTTTTGGGTATATTGTGTGTGTGTGTATATGAAGTGGCAGTTTCAAGGAAAATATGTAGGTAGTGTTTATCAGAAAAAATCTCACAAAAGCTTTTCAATAATCCGTGGTACATTTTTATACAATACTGAAATTACTCACAAAATGGTTCAGATTGAAGACAAGCACAATGTACTGTCAGTATGACTGGATATAATTAGTATTTGGGAGTAAATTTAACCAATCTGAAAATATGCAAGTTTACATACAGATTATTGAAAAAAGTTGGGTTGGAATTACAGAGTTAGGGAGAAAGATACAAAACAATACTAGATATTGACACAACCTGAGATATACATAATCAAAAAATGATTCTTGGTTCTATAATGGAAGAGTATTCTGATTTATTCTATCATAAGATAAACAACAACCAAGGAAACAAATTACAAAATGATCAATAACATGAACTAACCCAGCATAGAGGTGCAATCTTGAATTAATTTAATCAATATATTATATGGGTCATTCATAAATGACATTATTCTTCATCTACTTGTACTTGGCCATTCACAAATAACACTATTTGTCATCTGGTTGTACTTGGCCATTCATAAATCACATTATTCGTCATCTTTTTATACTTGGCCATTCATTAATAAACATTTTGGGCTATAAATCATGCTTGATCTCTACATAACATGCTACAAGACCCATGTTCACTGAAGTGTGAATTGTCTGGTATTCAAGCTTCGCTCACTAGTTGGGTGGTCTGTGAGGAGTCTGAATCGAATTGTGTTCTGGAATTTCTATTATGTTTGCTGTTTATCGAAAGTATTATGAAAGTAGAACCATTACAATGGCTCCAACTCAAATCATGGGTGAAACCTGACGAGAAAACAGTTTTCAGAAAAAGGGGGAAATCTATAATTTGATTTCAAAACTCTCAACTTTTTATAGAATATCATTTTAAACTTTGATTGGATACCAGCCATTTGTGTGTATGTATTTACCGGTAATAGAGATTTTCTGATTAGATATTCTCAATTGATTTTCCATGACGAAGGAAGCAATACAGCAGCATCTTGGCATTTCTAATCAAAGATTTATTCTAGCCAGATACACATCTTTATTCATTTGATAATTCATGATGTATTAGCCCAAGTAATTCCAAAATACGTCAGACAATTGCTGTTTGATTAACTATTCATCAATGTAATTATGTGTTTATTTTAAGCTCTGCATAAATAGGATTGACTATTGATTCATGGCCCTATTTATTCTTTAAGGAGAATAGTTATTATTTCGCCTTTTGTTCTAGTCTGTATCAGTGAAAGCAGCGTTCGTTCGTTCATTCTGAAGCTCTGAACCAGTTTGTTTAGTCTCTGAGCAGTATAACGATGTAACAATTTTTTCATACATTGGCTTTGAACGAGGCTCTAGGAATTAGATGAGATATTAAGTATTAATTGCTTTAATTCATTTCTGCGCTTCAGTTGCATATTTTGAAATCTGATAGTGAATAAGATACCCTTGTCTGATATCTTTTCCTTGTTGTTTTAAATTTAAAAGAGCAGCTAGCTTTGTATTGTTACAATATTGCTTATGCAAAGCCTGAGAATAATATTTTTGAATGGAGTATTCCACAACCTCGTAGCTGTATTGATATGATCTTCTTGAAGTCGTATGTTAATTGGTATTTACCAGTGCATGCTTCATCTACATGATTTCAGTAGCTATCAAAATAATTCCTTTTTTGTTTATAGATCATTCGTTCATCAGCATTCGTTTTTTTCCACAGTTTTTCAGGCAATACATAATAGTAACTAGGAACAGCATGTATTGCCAACTTGCTTGCCACCAGCCTAAGCATTTGAGACCGATGACCATAGGTATTATTATCTCCATTTGTCATGGTTTGCCACTTGAGTAAGTCATCTCTCATAGCCCCCCCAAGGGGGATAAATATGTAGATTCTAATCTCATTTATTTTATATTTTCCTACAGTTAGCACAGTATAATGAAGTCAATACCAGGTGGTGCCACAACTCGTGGCATCATACCACCAATCCCAACTCGTGCCTCGGCACCCACTCCACCACCAGGATTAGATGCCATATATCAGGCCTGTAAAAAAGTTTATCCAGAGCAACCGAACCCTCTGCAAGTCACTGCGGTCATGAAATACTGGTGAGCGGAGTTTCTACTTCTCATTTGAAATCTTTTCCACATAGAAGTCCTTGGACATGAATTGATGGAAGTCGAAACATTTACTAGTTAAATGTGGCCAGAAGATCTTTTATGAAACTAACTCAATAATTCAGAAAGTTGAATTTTTTAATATATCAATTAAAATAAACTTTGAAAGTGTTCTTTGCTCCTGAATAGTGATGGTCTTATTAAAACCAGATAGTTGGTGCACCTTTCTAAGCATCAGATACATGCCATCATATAGATAATTACTCTTTATGGGTGTGTTTGACACACATGGGAAATAATTAGGTGCATCTAAGAGGGTTGCTTAACTCTTCTCAGAGGGATTCACGCTACCACCTTTTTCCTCCAAGTCTACACATCTAAAACAAATAACCTCAACTAATCAATCGTATATGCTCTTTTCTTTTTTGTATGTTCATGGATATGCAGCTGTTGAACTAATATATCATCCTTATTGTTACAGGCTCGGAGGGCCAGATCCTCTTGACTATATTTCAATGTACCATAACAAAGGCAGCAAAGAAGTCCCAGAGCATTGGCATTACGTCACGTTCGGTTTTTCAGATCTGCATGGAGATGGCAGAGTACACCCGTAAGATTATTAACGGATATTTTGAAGGTTAAAGCTACGTTATGCTTATCCGTGTGGCACTTTGAATATTTTGACCTGTTGTGACAGTTTTTTCGTAATAATGGAGAATATTGCTAGAGATCTTAACCTAGAGATGGGCACCTAAGCATCTTGTGTGGCTCCCCTGCCTGCTCTTGGAGAAAGTTGTGAAATTGTTTTAGATTTAGATTTCCATTCAATCTTTTTTATATTATATTAAAATATTTTCAGCTTTTTTTCCTCAGCGGTTCAACAATGTCAGGACAAATCTAATTAACTGAAGGTTACTATGTGGTACAGCCCTTTAAAAAAATTAGAAGTAACTTACTAGATGTGGCCCTTCGCAAAAAAGATTTTGAGAATGTCTTTTGCACATTCCTGACTTGACTAAAACACAAAAAACAAACTTTGTATAGCATTGCCCAGACAAATCACAGTTGAAACAGCTCTGCAGCGGAATGTGGGCATTTCTCCTCAGATATAACCACTTCAGATAGCTAGTTTAAAATCAGTATGGCTTCACTGTAGCATATTCGAGCTGTGGCTCCTGCTAAGAATCTTTAATAACCTTAGAGAATTTTCGGTGTGACTTCTGCTATGGATAATCATCTCAAATGAAGTTTTGCGACAGTAGGACTCAAAAAACTTTTGAATTGATATTAGAAACCACGCATTGAAAAAATTTGATAATAGATTCTATTATTTGTATGTAGTAATAGAAAATTGTAAAAAGTAATTAGATTGTTTTGGTCTGGATCCATCAAATTTTCTGGTAGCTCCAGATCCATCTATCACAGTATGCTTGTCTCCAGCTCCTCACCTTTATTTCTCAGAACGATACTTTTTTATTCTTTTATCAGGACTGCCACACCGAACATGCCGAGTGGTTTCGGGTTTGAATTAACAATGAGACTGAAACGTGAACCGGGTGAGACTGGGCCCCCTACATGGCCTGCTGAGTTGCTACAGGCTCTGGGAAGATATGTCTTCCAGTCAGGTAAAATGGTTACTATAAGTATTGTGTAAACCAGCATTTACTGGAGCTTAGTTAATGAGAAATGAAACGCATGAACACCCTGATTCTTTGATTGGACCATTTGTGTCAATAGCCACCATATTTCTATAGTTCCAGTACAGTGTTCACCCATGACTTCAGCATGTCTTGAATTTTGGTTGTCATGCTGTAACTTTGCTCAGAAATGAGTCTTCTTTATTTCTGAGTGAGTGCACGTAATTACTTACTTCTGAGTGAGTGCCTGTAACTTTGCTCAGAAATGAGTCCTATTTACTTCTGAGTGAGTGCCTGTAACTTTGCTCAGATATGAGTCTCATTTACTGTTGTTGCATGTGGCCTCACTTTTTATCAAGCTTGTTGCCATGGTTTCGGACATTAAAAAAAAGGATAATATTAATATATTTTTTTCCAGAAAATTCTCTATTCAGTGGAGATCATGTGTCATGGCATGCGCCGTTAGACAACTCTGAATCCCGGATCACTCATATGCTAATGACAGACGACCCTCAGTTGCCAATGGTTACGACCCCTCTCGGAACTGTGTCATTTATACAGGTAATAGATTTTATCTTAATTTATTGTGGCTGTTTGTTCTGCTTGGTTTCTCAAACTTTGCATCTAGGGTGGGGTTTCTTAACATTGGTCCAATAAGCCTCTGGGGTTTGGTGCACCCTGAAGTTTAGCGAATCCACAAAGGTCATTTGAAACATTTGTATTTATTGTGCCAGTTACTTGGGTTAAAAATAACCAAAGTACATCGTAGAAGTCCGACATTCCACATTTAAACTTGCCATGTTACGGCATATGATTAATTTGTTTGAGCTTTCATTTGGGATATATGAAAACCCTTTTCCTGAAAAGATGTAAAATTATGGGGGTGCATTAACTCATTCCTGGAAACTCAACTCTGAGCAATGTCCCAGGCTTCTACTACAACCAAATAGATTAACACCGGTCCATTACACATGTACTCACTCAAAAGTAAAGAGACTCATCTTTAAATTACTGAATAACTGAGCTATGGTATTTTCAAACAATGTTCATCCCACTTCACAGGTTGTCGGTGTCTGCAGTGAAGAACTTCAGGCCGCTCAGCAATGGAACGGACCAGGTGTCATTGAATTGCTAAAAACAGTTCCTGTGTGAGTTCCTCGATTTTAGGTTTATTTTAGATTAGGTTGGCATTTTATTTATGTACATTTTTGCTGCAATTTTGCTAAAAGAAAGTCACTTACCTTCATTAAAAGTGGAAATTACTTTTATAAGATTTGCAAGTCCATCTTTGATGCCAGCATTGTTAGGAATAACGCCAGTCGCTAAGCTAAACAATGTTTTTGTGAAAATCCTAAACCCTATTTTAAAACATTTCCTTACATTTCATACAGAGCTGGAGGCCCATGGCTTGTAACAGACATGAGAAGGGGAGAAACAGTGTTCGAAATAAACCCAGATTTACAGGTGGGTTCAATAAATTGTTCATATCATTGCATTTTCTGTATAACGGTGTTTTTCGCTCTTGACAAGGCTCTGTAAAGCTTCACTGATATCTAAATACATGTAATAAACTACTATTTTTTTCAAAACACCAGAATATTAACAGTTCAGCACTGCCTACCCTATTTTTTAAGAAATTTGAGTTTCAAAGTATCTGGCTATACTACATGCACTAGGCTTTAATGTAGACAGCTCAATATGGTCATTTTTTTTTTCAATATCCCAACAAAACTTAAACTGATATTTAAAATTATATTTAACACCACTAGGAAGAGGTAGAGAACGGCATTCGCACTAGTGGATCCAACCTGAGTGGTGTCAGTGCTCGCTGCATATGGACAGAGTCGAGTGCGCAAGAGAGTGATGGACACACGCCTCCTAAACTCTCAGAAGAAGGTAACATTGGTTTGTTGCTGATATTTGTATTTCTGGCAATTGATGTTTTTCCAGAATTTATTGATTCATATACACAGCATTTACACAGCACAGCAAATGTTGACCCATCAATACAATTCCAATCTAATAAGTAGGGATGGGCAATATAGAATACCGAATCCCAAAGTATTCGAATCCAACAGGATCCGATAACAGGATTCGGTTCCCGCCTCTCCGGCGCCATGCGTCGATTTTTGCATTTCGGGTTTCTAAATATCAATTAAAGACGAGCGTTTTTTTCGCGTGGAAATCTCTCTCGTTTAACTAGACTTGCGTCTGCTGGCAAAGAACCCGTAAAATCGGTAAACTTCAAACACTGTAATCTCAATCGGCGTATTCTGGACGGAAGTCGGCGAAGTACATCTCATGGCGAAGACTCGTTATTGCACCATTTTCGCCGGGCGTCAATTTTTGTATTTCGGATTACTAATTTTATCAATTAAAGGCGAGTGTTCTTTCTCGCGTGGAAATTTCTCTCGTTTAATTAAACTTGCCTAATCGCAAAGAACCCGTAAAATCGGTAAACATCAAACACAGTAATCTCAATCGGCGTATTCTGGACAAGAAGTCGTGAAGTACACCTTACGACGAAGACTCGTTATTGCACCATTTTTTGCGTTTTCCTGCTTTTCTATCTAGCGAGGGTTTAATAATAATAATTATTTGTGCCGACTTACTGGCGATATTCTGATAATCTGATTGCAACAATCTTCAATTGTTTACAGGCGTGCCTTGCTTCATTTTACATTACTGTAAATGATTTTCCGCGACCGGCGAGTTTTCCCCAGAAAATGATGCATGTAAATCAAAAGCCAGGCGTAAAATGTTATGACATTACTTGCGATTAATTTAATTAAATCAAATATTATTTTGGAATAATTTTATTACTTTTATTACACCAGTTTCCGAAATACTAAGTTATATCGCATAACACGACGATCTGTCGCATTTAAATTTCACTCCCAAAAGATTACATATCTTTCGGTCCGTTTCTATCGTGCAAGATAGACGCACGTTTGATCGAGTGTATGTAGTAATTTTATTCGCCGATAAACTCAAAAAAAAGAAGCCACATCTGGCGAAAATAGTTACGTATTGAGTTTGAGTAGGGCCAAGTCTGGGTAGATAATGATATGTAACGATAATAATAGAAATTGAATTCGTCTTTAGATGATGTTAACTAATAACTAACTACGAAATCGCGTTTACGGGAACCTTGTTTGCCACGACTTGATCGCACAGAATAGTAAGTTGATTTTATTTGATAGTGGTTAAATTTAATATTTTACACCGGTCGCATTGGTTGCAGTGGCCACACGCTGGTCCTGCATCTAATTAATTCTCAGCGGGTGTGTTTTAGTACACTCGACACTCTATAACATTAATAATGATTTAATGACGTTTCATATCTATTTTTGTATTCAACCGCCTACTATTAAAGTGTTTGAAGCGTAATTTAGCATATAAGTATTTAGAGATTACATACATTTGGAATAATTGAAAGCAAAAATATTGTAATATTCTTAGATTTCATTGTCCTGGTAAATGCCTGTTTAGTATCAAATCAAATCCAATGTTAAGGACATTTCCAAATAAATAATACATTTATAATTTTTTGACATCTAAATCCAGCAATCAGGAAAATTCCTTCTATTTGAATGAGTATGAAAATAGAATAGGATTCGGTATTCTGGATTCGATTTAACTATTCTAGAATAGTAAATTATTCTATATTGCCCATCCCTACTAATAAGTGATCAATGATAATTTCTGCACAATTGCCAGCATGCCTGGTACGTCCTTACTCACTTTTATTGCAACCCTCTGTTTCAGTTTCAAACCAAATCAAGGACGCTCTTCTGCAAGGCCTAGAGAAGTCAAAGCAGAATATTGATGGCTACAGTATTGATAAGTGAGTATACAATTGGATTTTTGACTTTAAAAATGGGGAAAGTTGATGAGACAGACTAGTCATGGTTTGCTCATTGGTCCATATCAGAAATAGTAGACTTGTGTGTACCACACGTTAACAGAGTTCGAAGTTGAGTTGAATCACTGGCAGTTAGTTTACTGTAGTTGTGTTGCTTCGAGTCTTTGACAATTAGTAAGTGGATGCCCTCCCGATTTGAGTCCAGTTGTTTGTTTCAAAAGCATCAACTTGATGGTAAATGATGCTGCAACCAACCCCGCAGCAGTTCTTATGTACCAGTCCAGGTCTGGTGTAAGCCAGGTCCAGAAGCATGGTCAAAGATTGCGATGGCGCGGCAACTGACCAGCTAGAGCAGGGCTACTCAACTATTTTTACCAAAGATCCGCATACAAAACACAAAAATATTTGGGCCCGGTCTTTACAGAAATTGTATTTTGGCACTCCTAAACACGCACTTCCTCGGTCGACTAATGATTATTAGCTAATCAAGATTGTTCAATATGGCGTTATAGTTCGTTTCATATATATTTAAATCTATAAAAGTGATTTGATGAGAGGAAACTTTAAAAGTGGGGCTAATGATCCAAAATAAAAAATTAGGAGCGGTCCGAATCGAATACCCGAAAGGGGCGAATTTGGACCGCGGTCCGCCAGTTGAGAAGCCCTGAGCTAGAGTGCTGAATATGAAAAAATCTAAATCATGCTTACACAGATTATAATTAATTTTATAAGCTGGGTTGTAAAAACTAAAGCCCCTCCTCCACAACTGTTGATCACTAAACACCCCGCTGCCCTTAGTATTTCTACCAGTACTCTTTCTATTCTTTGCCATTTAGCACTCATGGTTACTAAGGCTACCCCGCGAGGCCAAGAGAAGAAAATCCACTGAAAAATTTGCTAAACGTGCGAAAACTGTTAAAAATCATAGCTCTAGATCAGGGGTGGGCAAATTCTGACGAAGTGTTTCATTCGGTCCATTTGTGTTTGCTGAAATTATGACTATAATTCCTATGAATATGAATTTTTGTTGAAGATATCTATAAAAAAAAGGCCTAAAAAAACTATTGTTGCACTGTGCTTCTTATTATTGTATAAAGATTAGTGGTTGTAAATTACCCTGTTTTTCTTATAGTTTTTTATATCAAGTTTTGATTCTTCAGCTCAGTGACCATGTCTATTATCTGTAGTTGGACCACCCAGAAAAGTAATTGCCATTGTGTAACTGTTTCAGTGATCAGGGTTAAACTTTAAGTTTATAGATTTATGGAACTTTCTTGAGAACAAAATTAAATGCAGGAGTCTTGCTCTACATCAAACCAAAAATATTTCTCAATACTTCCCTGTTTCAACAATTCGTGTCAACTACTCCGATGCTGGGAACATTGAGTCACTCCTCATCGAACTGTAACAAAGCCAAAAAGTGACTCAAGCTCTTGTTCAACTAACCCCCATTTACACCTAATCAAGTGATTGACTAGAATTTGAAATCGAGGCACTATGGACCTTGTGACTCGACTTGTCTTATCTAAAACTGTTTTCTCCACACCGACAACTCCCCTCATGTAGAATCTTATCATTTCAGTGATCGTCGAGACAGTGAAGACAGTCTATCTCAAGTTATTCCTCACGAACTTGTTTGCACTCGAACATTCGATGCAATTCATCTGAAATTCAACTTAGAAGCCGCAATGTTGCTTCCACTGTCTTGCAGGTAGTTTGCTTTATTTTGGAATTTTGCGTAATTGTATTGTCTCTTAACAATCTTTAATTAAGGGTGTTTTCTTGATGTCATATGAGTCCTTTTTATGACTTCCATCCCAGACATAGAGTTGTGTAAACAGACACTAATATGAAACAAAGTTAATGTTATTTGATAGATTCTAGGTCTTTATGCTTCATAGCATTTGCATAACATCTTTTCACGATTTCCATCCCAAACATGGCACTGCATAAACAGCCACTGATATTAAACAAATCTCGAATGCCAACATATTTGGTTCCAATGCTCTAAATGTAAGGCCAATGTACGTGCTGGTCTACTTTCTCAATTGTTTTATCAGAATTAGGAGCATACAGCTCTAAACATAAAAGCATAAAAAGCCTTACATCACAGTAGCTCCTAAATATGATTAGATTTCTGGACTTCTCGTCATCTTAGGGTAACCGCTTGTCAGTTATGGCTTCCTCCACCATTAATTCCATGGTTTTGAAAACAAGTAAATGGCTAAATAATCCTATACCCGACTTGGATGCGAGAGGCCGTGAGTGGTTCTCCATGTGATTATCAACTTTGATCTCCTGTTTAGTAAATTTGTAAATACAATCCTAAAACAATAGCTGCTTGTGCCTTGCTGAGTTGCTGTTGTAGCAAAATGTGTCAATATTTATCGTAAATGAAAGTTCAGATTCTCACCAAGGGTACATTGTATTGAGTCCATAATGGGAAGATTAAGATCCAAATATCATCATCTATGATTGTGTGCTTGTATATAGCTTTGTTGAGCGATTGTACTTATTTCTCTCACAGGGGTCGAATCCTTCACGGGAGACATTTTACATTCAAAAGTGTTCACGGTGATACAGCAGTGACATTAGTTGCCACAGGTAAGTTGTTTGCTGCTCTTAGTTTTACCTCAATTATTTCAGAATCGTGGCGTTTTTATAAAATTTGCATTAGCAGTAAGGGGTCAGTATCAGCCAGAGCATTGGTTCTCAAACTGGGGTTCACGTTCGCTTGGGGGTTCGCAAAGCGATTTAGGGGGACCACGAGACAATTTTAACCTTGACACAGAAGCACTTTGATTTGAAGTAAAATTTTGATGTCATGCATTTACAGTGTTTCTGCAAAGCACGACACGGTCTACTGAAGACATTATTATGTAACAAACGTTAGTGAACGTGCCAAGTACCGTAAATTCAAAGTGACTATTTTCACTTTGTGTAAATCAGAGCGTATTGTTTAGGCAAGGTGTGTGCATCTGGTTGTAAACTTTCTCGGGGTAATTTAAAAATGAGACACGATAGGAGAGTTGCATTATCCAAAGAACCCAAGGTAGAAGAACTAACAGGAACCAAAAAGGTGCACCCATCTAATTGAACTGTTTTAATGTCATTCAATAGATGAATGCTTGATATACCGCGTTGCTATTTGCTTTCATTTCTTTAGTGGCTGCGAGTCAGATCAGAAAAAATAAAAGTGGACCGTTATGCAGGATTTTTCAAAAAGTTTGAGGACCACTGAGCTAGTGGCTCTAAACAGTTTTTTCGAGCTGTGAAAAATTGCTATGTATGATACAGAAAAATCTTATTTTTTATATTTTAAAGGGGGGCCCCCAACCCTCCCTAACTATGCTAATGCGACCCAGCCTGGGTTAAATCATCGGAAAGATGTAAGATACTAATACTGAGATTTACACTGCGCCACTGATATGAATGAACATTGATTAGCGTTGTAATTTATTCTCATTTTCAGGAGTTGAAGGAGCATTTGTGACTGAAGAGACACCGTTTGCTGCTAGAGGGCCCTGGTTGCAAGTCTTAGTTCCAGAGGATTTTGCTCAGGAGTTGGTGGACGACCTCAGTGAACTAACGACACCAAATAATGTAAGCGCCAACCTTGCCCATTAATGTATTGGGTAGACCAGTAGTTCTCAACCTTTCTCTTTTGTGGCACACTTTCGTTGCACAAAAAATTCTGTGGCCCATTAATTTTCTCATGCAAGGGTGAAAACTACACAAAAAGACAAAGAATTCTTCATACAAAATTAGACACTTTCATTTCCATAATTAGTATAAAAATAACCATTTAGTAGCTCAGTACATTATTATCATTCATTTTTACTACAATTAAAGTAACAATTTACTACCTATTTATCAATAACTCTTCTAATTTTTAAAATGTTTGTGGCCCAGCAATAGGTCATGGCCCATTGGTTGAGAACCAATTGGGTTGGCAATTTGGAACGGGATATTCTGATTCGGGTTCTTCCAATTTGCATCAGGTTCTCACATATTAGTGGCCTAAAGATCTGTGGTTTTAATCCAACACTCCTCCAGTGTGTGGACCAGAAAGATATCAGCCCTGTTCCAAAATATAGTGATCAATTAAACAGGGGCTTGTTTAGACGTATGATTTGAACTTTACAAATTTACAAACATAAATTTATCAGTAATTGCTCTGCATAAATCTTGTGGGAGATGGATATGTGTTACTGGGCCCAGGTTGTAATATATGACAATGTTGAACACAAAGATTTCCGTTGTTCTCAACATATAGTGGAGGTGCTTTTTGTCAATCAAATCTTTGCCAGAAAATCCCAGGCAAAAAACGCATTCTCACCCTATCATCTAGAGCAGTGATTCCAAAGTGGGCGATATCGCCCCCCGGTGGGTGAAAACGATACAGAGGGGTGCGAAAAAGTCGAAGGGGGCGATTTCACGAAACCTGTTTTTGTTTGGAGCATCGTGCACTTAATTCTGTACTTTGTGTGCATTCGCAGGCTTGAATCACGTTGGCGATTATCACATGCAAAAGGATTGTCGGACTCGTCTTTGCAGTAAGGTACGGTAGTTTGCGTATCGCTCGTCAAAATACGGCCGGAGTAAAATAATCTTGCCCGGGACTATTCACTGAATGACCTTTCCTGACGATTGACCGCGGAAAATTCTTCCTATACTTTACCATTTCAAAATTTTCGGTGCTTAGTTTAAGAGTGTTTCGCGAGTTGGTTCCTGTAAAATGGGGTATTTGTTTCAAACTATCATTCTAATTCATACCAGTCAACAATCTGTTGATTCGCACTATCGTACTTACGAAAATAAAAAGGGCATACTACTATAAAATATCACGGCAATCGGCGAATATAAATTTTCTGGTAACCAGCTTGTAGGTAACGGTTATCCCATTGTTTATTGTATGCTAATTACGCCATACAATAAGATAAGCTTGAATTTATTTTCGAAGTATTCGAAATTTCTTATTCGAAAAAAAATATATTTCCGAATGTATTCGAAATAGTGAATTATTCGGTATTGGCCATCCCTGGCTGGTAGGGGTTCAATAGCGCAGTAAATATTCGAATATATTGCAATGCAAAAAGGAAATAAAATTCATATTCTATTCGAGAGATTCATCATTGCTTAATTTTTCTAAGAATGTATCTTGTGCGAACAAATATTTCCGAAAATGAACATTACAAAGAACAAGCAAAGAACTGGGATTAGTAATGCCTTTATCGAAAATGTTCCAATCTTGGCGTCGTAAAGCTATCAAGCGTGATGCAGCAACATGACAGTGTCACAATAAATGTCATTGTAATAATTTTTTAATAAGACGACTGAGTTGAATTCACGAATTGTCTCAGTTTTTGCGCACTGTTCTGTTTTTAACTTACCCGCAAAAAACTAGCAACCCTAAATTTTGTCCCGCGAGCGAAATAAAATTTGCCGACAACTGGGCTGTACGTAGCCTATAGTCGGTCACGACTTCTTCCACATCCGAGTCCATGAATCCAAAAACAAATGGCTGATTAATTCTGTGGACTGGAGATCGTGGTAGGATGAGGAATCGGGGATGAATTTTACCGAAATATGTTGGTGCAGGTCATCAGACTGTAGGAATGAATTAGATGTATGAAAATCATTATTATAAGTTATGGAAAATTAACTTTGTTTTCATTATTTTAATGTGAAATGGGGTGAATTTAGGGAGTAAAATGCTATAGGGCAAGAGTACACGGCGGTGGTAGGAGGTAGAACCCCGAATTCTTTCATTTCCGACCTAATATATGGTGAAAAGGGGGTTTTCAGCCGTGCTACTATTGCTATCAAAACAACGAAATCGCCTTTTTATCAGTAAACGGGGTAATTTTAGATATAATAAAAAACTCGCTGAAGAACACCAAGCTCATCCATCTCATTAAAATACACTATAAACTATTAATTGTCTTCTTTTTTGGTCTGTAATATATTCGTTTCTGACTTTACATTTTTTCGTAGTGCAGGGGGGCGATGAAGTTGTATAAACTACTGTAGGGGGGCGATGATCAAAAAAGTTTGGGAACCACTGATCTAGAGTTCAATACATTCAGTAGGCAATGTCTAATTAGAAATATTTTCCTTATTAAAATATAGTAGATTCTTCCATTCCTGCGGCTAATCGAAATAAAACTCGATTGAAGTGAAAGTATGGACATTAGGGACTATTACTGGGTTTCTAACTTTATGAGTGTTTCATGTAACTAGGTCATGGCTTCCTATACCGCCCATGTTCATCTCTAAACAAGGCATTAGACAAGCAGCTATTAATACGTAGGACGCAACTGATTTTAGAGATCCATCCTGTCCAGCATTGCTTTCCAGCTTTGACACCCTTGGTTGAAGTTTAAACCCGCGACACTAAATATGTTCAAGTTCGCTATTTCCTACTCAATTCAGTACTTTTATGTAATGAGCCAATTCATTAAACCCTGGGTGTGGGCATGGTATTTGAACCTGTGGTGTTTACTCAGTATCGCCATATAAATAGTAAATGCCCATGTATAATTAGTGAATAACCATAAACATGACCAAAGTGACCACACCTAAAGAGCACATGGCTACTTCACCTTCACAGCTGGTTGGTCATGATCCGTCACCTGTAACTGATGACATCACAGGTCATGCTCAGTCATCTGGGAAAATGTTATTAAGATGTGGTGTCAGCTTAGTTGAGCCACTCGATATTTTATATCATTATTGTTTCCCTCAATTTGTCTTTATTCTCAGGTTGAACTACCAAAGCACTTCAACTGGGCAGACCGGCAACTCAGAATTTCAATATTTGAAGACGGATATTTTGACGACCCCATGTCATATACGCAGGTTACGACGTGACACTGACTCATGGTTCATTGACTGTCGAATCTGTTCGCTAACGTGTGACACTAGTGTCGATTGTGATGTCAGTCTTGTGGCCGTTGTCAGTCTTATTACGAAGAAGTCGTCTTGTCAATTTCCTTACCCACGGGGATGAATTTACATTGTTCGAATCCATATTTCAGCATAGAGAAATCTAAATTAAAACAGAGTGTGTCTTGCTTTTATCACTGTACATCTGTCCGGCTCAAAACAGCTTGTATGTTCGTCCTCAGATACGGGCTGTCTATCTAGGTTACACCAGAACCTGTCTGTCTAGCTGACTGGTTCTCAACGAGTGGGCCACAGAACTATTTAAAAATTGCTAGTTTCATTTATGTCACAATATTCAAATCTTATTTTAGCACCAATGAATGATACTGCTGTTTTTTGCTACTGAGAATTAATCCATGTCCAACTATGAAGTTAATATAGTGTCTATTTTCGCTGAAAGATCATGATTTTTTTTGTAGTTTTCCCCTTGTAATAAGAAGTTGATGGGCCACAAGAATTTTGGATAACAAAAATGGGCCACGAAAGAAAAAAAAGGTTGAGAACCACTGGTCTAGTTGAAATAAAACAGTGACCGTTCGTCTGGCTCGGAACGGTCTGCCTTTTGTCTAGTCTGTTTTTCTGGCTTTAAAAGACTATCTATCCGACTTCAAAACCAGTCGAAACTAAACGATGTCTGTATTTTTCTAAATATTCAGAAGTTACTTTTTTTTTTCATTTTATTCTTTGCAATTCTCTCCCACTTTATCCCACCAATACATCATCTGGCCGTATGACGCTAGATAACCAGCAGTTACTAGCATCAATCCATTCCCCCATTATCAAGTCTATGTATCGGAATCAAACAAATGTTCCCTTACCGACATAGACTGGTAACTGAACAAGAGGCTGTGAATCGCCATACAACTAGCCTATCTTATCGATTTCCCTGAATGAATCCCATTCATGTAAGGTTGTTCAAATGATTCCATACCAGACATGGACTGGTAATTGGACAAAAGACGAATTGTCATATGATTAGCTATCGCATTTCATCCCCCACGAAAAAATATGTTAAGGGGATCTACTCTTCTTGGGTTAGTTTTCGTCCTTGATTTAAATTTCCAATCATTTTGATTAATTCAGCATCGGGAAACTTAACAAATCGATATTGAATCGAGGGAAGCTAGAATGGCAATTCTTTTAAACCACCATCACTGCTAGTTACTATCTTTTGAACAAGGCTTTCTATGAGGACCCACTGATACACAAAGAGTTATATCCTGGTGCACAAAATTAAAATCAGATAAAACTACTGTCACTGCTAGCAACTATATTCTTCCCATGCCTCCCCCCCAAAAAATGATAAGTAAAATACCAATGCTGAAAGTAGAACCGCTGAAAATATGTTCTTCTACCTGCTAATTCAATTAATTATTCTTCCCTCATATTAGCTACCATCTCGTTTATATTTTACATTCACTGCCGTTACTTTAGCTGCTTCAAAAAATAATTTTACCTTTTAATTATGGTATTTTGTCCTCAAATTATTTTTTATACTTAATTTTTTTGTGCAGTAATGTTGCCTGAATAAATTTTACAATGTGATGTTGGTGAGTTAAGGGAATTGGGAAAAGACTTCTTTATTTGTGTGGAAATAGTCTAACACCTGTTTCTGTGGATACTTCATAATAACCTCCTTTCATGGGATAAATTAAAATAAATTCATTCTCAACAATGAATACCAGCGGGGGGTTTCCAAAATCTCGTGCCCACTTGTGCCATGTGTCCCATGTATCCTACTTGTACCACTATATGTTGTACTACTATATGTTCCACTTTTACTACTTGCCCGAAGTGTAGGACATGCGGCAAGTGTGGGACGGGTGGAACTAGTGGGACACGACATTTTTGAGACACCGCCAGCTGGGAACCCAGATAACATAGGTTTGGGTGGCAAATCTGCCACTAGTATCCGACCCTGTACGAAAAAGTGTTCATCACAATGGGCACATAAGTGGGTCGTTGTCTATTTGATGCTGCGAAATTATTTCCACGTATGTCACAAGAGTGGGGTTTTCGTCAGCATGGAATAATTTGTAAAGGTACAAGCCGTCTTTCCGGTTTATGCCACAGCACTGCCCGGATGGGAATCGGTTTATAGTGTACGCTCTTCGCTGAGGCCCTGTTTAAAATCGGGCTTGATGTTTGGCTCACTTAGCTACTAAATAGTGTTATACCAAATTAAGAGTACATAATACAAACGAAATTAGGAATACTTGTCAGTGGTTACCTTGCCGTATCTGTATCAATTAATAAATAAATAAACTTATCCGTCTGCGTTGCTGGGCGGGCGTTAGTTTTATATTCCGCATGGTCAGCAATTTTGTACTATTGCTATCATCGAGGCATATTCCCTACAACTAGATGTCGCTAATTAGCCATCCATCCGAAATAAATCATGACGGTTCTTCCCATTCCTCTAGTTCTTTTATCCGTAGTAATCTGTCGTTCCATTCATGAATGTGTATTTTAAGTTAATTTTTCTAAATATCTAATTCTGAATCTTAAGAATACAAGTTACCTAATCTGAATAAAATCGATTTATGCGAAAATAGACCCGCCTCGAGATGACGCCGTAGAGCAATATTCACCTTGATATTTTTTTAAGATAAGGGAATTCCCCTGTATATTATTTCTAAGCTATGCTGAGATTTAGCTTGAATTTTCAATGGAGGATTCAGGCAATATATATTAAGTTGGAACTCATAATAGTATTCATAATAGATGTATTAGTAGGATATTAATGAAGTATCACATACTAATACTGGTAAGGAGAAAAGACTTGTGAATGTAGTCGTATCAACGCTTCAATGTCAGTTTAGTTTGATTTTGAAGCATCACTCACACTGTACCGGTACTCGTTTTGTTCATTGATATTTTTGCATTCATTTTAGACTACATTCACAAGTCTTTTCTCCTTACCAGTATGAGTATGTGATACTTCATTAATATCCTACTAATACATCTATTATGAGTTCCAACTTAATATATATTGCCTGAATCCTCCATTGAAAATTCAAGCTAAATCTCAGCATAGCTTAGAAATAATATACAGGGGAATTCCCTTATTTTAAAAAAATATCAAGGTGAATATTGCTCTACGGCGGCGTCATCTCGAGGCGGGTCTATTTTTGCATAAATCGATTTTATTTAGATTAGGTAACTTGTATTCTTAAGATTCAGAATTAGATATTTAGAAAAATTAACTTAAAATACACATTCATGAATGGAACGACAGATTACTACGGATAAAAGAACTAGAGGAATGGGAAGAACCGTCATGATTTATTTCGGATGGATGGCTAATTAGCGACATCTAGTTGTAAGGAATATGCCTCGATGATAGCAATACTACAAAATTGCTGCCCATGCGGAATATAAAACTAACGCCTGCCCAGCAACGCAGACGGATAAGTTTATTTATTTATTAATTGATACAGATACGGCAAGGTAACCACTGACAAGTATTCCTAATTTCGTTTGTATTATGTACTCTTAATTTGGTATAACACTATTTAGTAGCTAAATGAGCCAAACATCAAGCCCGATTTTAAACAGGGCCTCAGCGAAGAGCATACACTATAAACCGATTCCCATCCGGGCAGTGCTGTGGCATAAACCGGAAAGACGGCTTGTACTTCTACAAATTAGTCCATGCTGACGAAAACCCCTGTTCTCTGATATAAACCAAAAATATACATGACGCTCGATGTATTTGGACAAAAACAAAAAATGTAATCAAACAATTCCATATTGGCACTGGAATTCAATTCGACAAAAAAAGTACCGTAGTTTTTGTATTGGCCTAAGAATATTATTTTTGGTTTTTTAGCTAATGAGAGACTTGTAGGTTATCAGGGTTAATTATACACAAATATTTGTATTGTTGATACAATGTATATTCCTCTCAGTGGTCAATATAATATTTCTAAATAATTCAGTCAAATTATTACGATCTAAAGTTCAAGTTACGGTACAGCTTGAGGACACAACATAAATTGGGTGTATTATGTACCGGTATTAATTTCACATTCTGAGTTATACATGTGTATTTGATTTTCTGCCAGGTGTTAAAGTGACGGCAGGGTTATTGTAATTTACTGTACCATTTTATTTATTGGGGTATATTATTATCAATAAAAACATTGGGGTGTTTGAATTTTTCTAAATGAAACTTGCTTATCAGTGTGTACTTCTGTTAGTATCTTAGTATTTTTATTGACCATGCCTGAGTAGGGATGGGCAATATAGAATAATTCACTATTCTATAATATTCGAACCGAATCCTATTCTATTTTTATTGTTTTTCAAATGTGAGAATTCTCCCACCACATTGCTGGATTAAAATTGAGAAAAATTGTAAATGTATTACTGTCTTTGTATTTAATTGGAAATGTTCCGAGCATTGAATTTTAGTTGATACCAAACATGCTTGAACTGTTTTTCGTTTGTATATTTTACCCAGACTTGGTCCCACTCAATGTGTGCTTGTTTAATAGTTACGTTAGGTCGGACATGATTTACTGTCTTTACCAAATACAGCATTTTTTTTTTGATTTATTGTCCACTAAAATATCACAGACACTGGAACCCAAGCATTTGTAGATTTTAGATGATAGAATGATTAGCTAACTTGAATTCCATTTCCACAAATACGTAATATTTTGGGAGGGCAAGCAAAATGTGATTAAGTGCCCTGTCTTGTAATATAACTTTGTATTTTTGAAGAAGGTGTGTCATACAAGTATTCAGATTACTCTATGCGCAAATAATATTTGATCAAAATTTATTGCAAACGTTATAACATTCAACGCCTGGCTTTTGGTTTGCATCATTTTTTTGGGAGAAATTGTAGCTCGCAAAAAATCCTTTCAATGTACAATGAAGCTCGGTAATCAGAATATGGCGTGTATGTCATCACCAATATAGCTGATGGGGTTCAACATCAAACCTGGCTGTTGGGACTATCTCAAATGTTTTGTTGCGAACTAGATTTAGTCCACTTAATAAAAAAATTGAATATTTTGAAACTGAATGACTTATTTTACCATGAAACAGGCAAAATTATGCATAAATTTATCTCTAGCAGTTTGCCTGAATCGCTTGCGTCCCATTTCACCGATTATAAAGTAGCCAATATCGTATCAAACGCGATCCTAATCAAATAATTCATATTTTATTCCAATAGCCGCAACTAAATTCTCCCAAAAATCAATTATGTTCACTACTGCAAAAATTTGGAATTGAATTCTTGAATCCATTAGATTGGCTTCCTACATGAAATTTGTAAAATTATCTAAAATTTTTTGTTAGGGATTACTATCAGGTAGTGATAATGATAAAAACATGTAATTACCCATGATATAGTTGTCCCCTAGCCACTGGGAGCTTTTTTACCATATTTTATGCTTCCTTCTTTTTCCAAACTAATTCTGTTTTATTGTAACTCTTGCTTTCGTGTAGATATATTTGGTAGTTAACAAGTCGACGAATATTTTAAATTTTTTTTCAATGATTAATTGGCTGGAATGGGTGGTGGCTGACTTCAATGACTTTTGGTTGTATCGCCATCTCCCAGTCTATACCAAAATAAGTGCTGTGTATTTTATTATTATTTATTTGTATTTTGGTTGATAAAAATAATAAACTCTCTCTATTGCAACCTCCAATATCTTATTGTATAGTTATTTCCTCTCACTGGTTGGCGCTATTGTTCAGTTTTTTGAATGCCTGGTTAACGCCCATGATTACTCTGTCGAAGTGACGTCAATAGACCATGTGTTGAAGGGTTTTGCACGATGGGTTGTTTTGGCATTGGCTTGAGAATGTTATTTTGGGTTTTATAGCTATTGAGAGACGTAGGTTAATAGGGTTAGATATATGTAGGTATTTGTACTGATAGTAAACAGTGTATTATTTATAGTTGTCTCCGTGGTCAATATAATATATATTTTAATATAATATTTAATTTCGCATAATAAAAATTTTGTTAAAAATCATGTATTTTGTAAATAACGATAGTACGCTTTTTAAAAAACATTTTGCATCACTTCTGCGCAAACTATAATACTACCTCGCATTTTATGTCTTAAACTGCCTATGCGATTCATAATTTGTTAACTTTAACAAAATGGTATTGTTTGGTATATTCTTCTCTATCTATGTCGAACAGTACAACACTCAAGCCCAACAATTTAAAATCTTAAAACTAGAAAATCTTGAAATATTGTATCAAAACAGCAAATACTTAATCAATATTTGATGAATCTAGCTTTAGGCTGGCCAACCCGACCAGAATTTCTGAATAACTTTTGATAATTGAAAATTTTGTCGATATTATTGTTTTTAAATAACAATCAGAATTTGGATCATTAGCAAATGTAAAAAAATAAAATTTTTAATTTTACAGAAAAATAGTAACAGGAAATACTGTAGAAAATAGTAATAGTCTACAGAAATATACAACATAAATTTGAAGAGCAATTCTGCCTGTAATGGAATTTGATATTGATTGGAATTATATTTGGGTACCAGGTATGTCTAGT